AAATGGCTGACCGTAAACAATGACTTAAACAAAAAGAAATCCACTTTTCAATTATTTTAGTCTCCCTATTAATCATGGGGTTATGAGTCTTTAACCAGGGGAAACCTAATATAAGTTGGGGAGAGGGTGAATAAAAAATGAAGAACCTACCCCGCTCGTGGTGGTTTCCTGAAGTGATAAAGTGGATGTCTTGAGTTTGGTTGTTTATCTGGGTGAGATTCTGTCCAGTGATTCCAGTAACTCTCATCGGGGCCGGCAGGTTCTGGGTAGATAAATCTAGCTGGGACACCAGGTCTCTACTGATGAGATTCTGTTCCGCCCCGGAGTTAATGCGTGCTGAAATAGGGAGTTGACATTGCTTAGACAAAATAGTAACCGGGAGAGTCAAACATGGTGCTGGAGAAAAAGAAGAATTTCCCACCAGGATCTCCTGCCTTAATGGTGAGAATGTTCGTTTCCCCGGAATTGGCAACGAACAATAAAATGTCCACGCTTACCACAATATATGCAGGCCCACGCATTTACACGATCCTGTTTTTCCTCCGGTGTTAGATGAGTTCATCCGATCTCCATTGGTTCTGGTTCGGCTTCGTTAGATGTTGTAAAATGACTGGATTCTTTCTGTGTGTGACATGCCCCAGAAACAGGAGCTGAGCCGGCAGAGTAGTAACCGGAGCTCTTCGGCATGTGATGTAAACCGGTAGCAGGAGTTCTCTGGGGATTGTAGTTCCTCTCGCGTACTCGTTCTAGTCGGCGATTATCTAGACGAGTAGCCAACTTTATTAATTCATCCAGACTATTGGGTTCGTCTCCGGCGGCAATCTGATCTTTTATATAATCGGACAAAGAGTGAAGGAATGTACCTCTAAACGCCAACTCCTCCCATTTTGTTTGAGCTGCTGTAATCCGAAACTCGAGGGCGTGTTTGGCGACGGATCTTCTGCCTTGCCGTAGTGTCAGAAGGCGCTTCACTGCTTCCTCCTGCTGGAGTGGATGGTCAAATTTGTATTTGACCATCCACTCCAGCAGGAGGAAGCTGCTCACCAGCGCCACCCATGCCTTCAGGAACCTGGTGGAGAGAGGTTGAAAAAACCCTACAGTTCAGTGTCAGGAGGGCTGTGATTAGTCTTACATCGGGGATACTAAATAGCCACTGGTCAAAAGGATGGACCAGCACAGAAGAGCAACACCATCAGGCCAGGACTTTGTGGTCTACACTCATCTCCAGGCCAGCGGGCACTCTTTCAGGGATGAAGATAAAGACTAAAATAATCGAAGTCCTTTAGGAAACAGGCAAAAGTTAGCGTCTCTACAGGTCGAGCTGACAGGTGGGCGTTGGCCCATCAGAGAGCGTCTCCCTTCAACTGTCTTACTACGCAAGTTATTTTGGAGACGTCTGAAGAATACGTCTGTGGTGCTCTACTAAAAACCAAATGGCATTGTAAGATAAAACCACCACAGTGATTAGGATAACCAGAAAAGAATTCAGATGGTCTGAAATTTGTTTCACTGGGCGAAGGCTCAACATTTCCGCTTGAGACTAGGAGTAGGGTTCTCTGGTGGAGCACTTTGGGATGTGGAGAACAGAGTGGATAATTTTTGATTTATAACAAAAACCATACCTCCCAATTCCTGAAGGTTGGACTGGCTGCTTTTCTGCTGTTCCAGGATTTGTTGCAGGGTCGCATCACGACTGTCAATGCGCTTAAATGTTGGGACTGTTCTCTCTCTCAGTCACGTTCTGGGTGCTTTCAGGCTGGAGCATTCTGTTGTAATGAGGGTTACCCAGATAATACGGACTGAGAGGAAAACAGAACCAGACTCAAATTTAATTGAAAATGTTTATTTACAGTGAAGAAATAGAAAACTATTTACAAGCAGGGTCTGGGGCTGTAGAGACAGAGGAGGATGATTATTTTATGATAGGTAATATTAATCCAACAGATGATCAACCAAAACCTGAGGTCCTTACAGTAGAAGGAGTTGAGGTGGCTGGGTGAGTAAGGCTGAGGGTTTTTTTTTCCCCAAGGGTGACAGGGCCAGGCAGTCTGCAGAGGCAAGTGGTGGAAGGCGTGTGAGAGCAGCTGTGAACCAAGAATCACAGGTGAGTTTCTCTCCAAGGGTTTCTCCAATACTCCAGGTTAAGAGACAAGATCCAGGACATCAAGAGTCTGAAAATGTGCAGACAGAAAACAAGGTAAGTATTTACATTTCCAAACACTATACTAGGCTGGAAGCATATATACAGACAGGTAGAACAATGCTCCAGCAATGACTGGAGCTCAACTGAAGCCTTTAGTCCTGGCATCAATTAGAGAAAACGGTCTCCAGCTGCAGCTGCTCACCAGCGCCACCCATGCCTTCAGGAACCTGGTGGAGAGAGGTTGAAAAAACCCTACAGTTCAGTGTCAGGAGGGCTGTGATTAGTCTTACATCGGGAATACTAAATAGCCACTGGTCAAAAGGATGGACCAGCACAGAAGAGCAACACCATCAGGCCAGGATTCTGCGGTCTACACTCATCTCCAGGCCAGCGGGCACTCTTTCAGGGATGAAGATGTTCACATCCTGCATAGAGAGGAACGATGGTTTGAGAGAGGAGTAAAGGAGGACATCTTTGTGAAAAGAAATCGTCCATCATTAAACAGGGGTGGAGCCTCCGGGTTCAACTGTCCCCCTCTTACAATGCTGTGATTGCTAGTATCACTCAGCCCTCTGTGAATAGCAAACAGCCATCAGTGTGCTAATGATCCATTGTTAGGCTGATGGTTCTTCTTGGTCATGTGAGCAGCTGGTTTTGGTTGTCAGCAGCAAAACTGGTTGATCCACTGTGAGAAGGTGCTATTTAAGAGACTGAGCTGAATACAGCACCTCAGACTGAAGAAGTCTTTCGGATGAAAGATGAAACGTTTCTACAATTTTTGTTGTTGTTGTTCTTTTTGTTTTTTGAATGTCCAGAGGACCCGATTTAACTTTTTTAGATGTATGTGTATGACTTTTAATCATTTTAATCATTTTTATTATCTGACTGTATGATTGTTTTGTTGTGCGTACAGCACTTTGGGCCTGTGGGTGTTTAAAGTGTTCTATAAATGAAGCTGGTATGGTATATATATATTTACATATATTGTGCTGTACCTGTACTACAAGTACTAATGGAAAAGAGGCATAAGATGGCCACCGCCACACACACACATACTTGTAATATCTGTACTATAGAGTGTTAGATAAGCTGTTGGTGTTCATGATGTAACGAGATATTCACACAAAGATTTTTTTTAACTTTTAATTAAATATGTACCATAGCATAAACAAATGTGCTCAGTAAATGTTTTTTTTTTTTTTTTTTTTTTTTTTTTGAACAGTGCCTGTAACACAGCTGGTTAAAAAAAAAAAGTTGCCTACCAGGAAGTCATTGATCGCTCTCTTTGTATTCCTCCTGCGCAAGCTTGTGCTATGTGGCGCAAAAGTTGCTCTGCGCATGCAGGGGAGTCCCCTCATCCACACTCTCTGCAGGGGAGTCCCCCCATCACACACTCTGCAGGGGAGTCCCCCCATCCACACTCTCTGCAGGGGAGTACCCCATCACACTCTCTGCAGGGGAGTCCCCCCATCACACTCTCTGCAGGGGAGTCCCCCCATCACACTCTCTGCAGGGGAGTACCCCCATCACACTCTCTGCAGGGGAGTCCCCCCATCCACACTCTCTCTGCAGGGGAGTCCCCCCATCACACACTCTGCAGGGGAGTCCCCTCATCCACACTCTCTGCAGGGGAGTCCCCCCCATCCACACTCTCTCTGCAGGGGAGTCCCCCCATCCACACACTCTCTGCAGGGGAGTCCCCCCATCCACACACTCTCTGCAGGGGAGTCCCCCCATCCACACTCTCTGCAGGGGAGTCCCCCCCATCCACACTCTCTCTGCAGGGGAGTCCCCCCATCCACACACTCTCTGCAGGGGAGT